AGTCGGAGACATAGAGAAATAGGGTTGGGTGTCATCAGCATACTGATAACACCGCGCCCCATGTCTTCATATGTTGTATGTTGTTGTATGTTGTTTGCCACAAACCAACAAAAGTCCCTATAGGCAAAAAACCCAAGACAGATGAGCAACAAACCAAACTGAATTTTTTTTGGCAGAACCCTTCAGTTTGGTATGTTGTTTGCCTTCACGTTGTTTCTGACTTATGGAGAACCTGAGACAAATCTATCATGGGGTTTTTGTTTTGTTTTGGGGCAAGAGGGGTTTTGCCATTGCCATCATCTGAGGCTGAGAGAGTGTGACTTGCTCAAGGTCACCCAATGGGTTTTCATGGCTGAGCAGGGATTTGAACCCTGGTCTCAAGAGTTATAGTCCAACACTCAAACCACTACACCCTGTGATAGGTTTGCCTTAGGGTCGCCATGTGTCAGGAATGGCACACAACACTATAAGGCCCACTATACTCAGAAATCCCTTCTGTTAAAAATAAGCTTTCAGAAGACAGGAACATCTATTATGATGCAAATAAGCTTCCCAAGCCACCATTATTATATTTACTAATCGGGCAGAAGAAAAGGCTCTGCTTCCTCTGAGGATGATGACAAATCCTCACGCACAACTGGCCATCCTCTGAACAAATGTTTCCAAGAAAAATATGGTCTGGGGATTGCCAAAAGTCAGAATCGACATGAAACACGCACACTAGCTTTTAGCAAAGTGGGCTGATGTGCTTTGAGCCCTGAAAGTTGGAACAAGGGCAGTATCAGAGGGCACTGAATGGATCGAGTGAACTTGCTCAGGATTTGCGTACGGCCCTTGTAGTAATAATAATAATAATAATAATAATAATAATAATAATAATAATATATGTGATACCGTGTTCTTTCGCAAGCCAGCTGGTAGGAAACAGGACCATGAAAATCAATTTGCAATATATAATTAGCATAGAAGAATGAGGAAGTTCCATTGCAATCTGCTGCATTAACTATCTGCTTCTAACTCTTTTAAAAACATTCATGTAATTACTGGTGATTTAATTTCACACACAATGTTATTACATTTGTGCATCTTGTCCTTTATTGCATTGGCATAACATTACTTTCTCTCTCTCTCTCTCTCTCTCTCATTCCCTCTAATTATTATTAACTTCTCACACTGCATCCAGTTCTGAAGGAAATCTGACCGAGAGTGCCTTTATCCAATGCTACCTGATGAATGAACTTCATGGTCTTAAATCCAGCTCTCCGCTCACTGTACCACATTGGCTCAAACTTTCAACTCACTGCCTTGACTTCATAGGTTGGATTAGTGTCACATAGGTCCAAAACACACTGCAGAAATAATCCAGTTTGAGACCGCTTTAACTGCCCTGGCTCAGTGCTAGGGAATCATGGGAACTGTAGTTTCTTGTGGCACCAGAGCTCTCTGACAGAGAAGGCTCAATATCTGTCACAAAACTATAGTTCCCAGAATTCTCTAGCATTGAGCCAGGGCAGTTAAAGCGGCCTCAAACAGGATTATTTCTGCAGTGTGTTTTGGACTATAGGTTAATTTTTCCTGTGGAACCTTCTTTCTCAGAGTAACTATGTCATAAATTACTTGGGCGGTGTTGTCTTTAACGTTTCTGTCTTTTTATCCTGGTTAGAGCTTTAAGGATAGAATTATTAGTTCTTGGTCTGTTTTTATATCAGTCAACAATTCAGTAATAGTAGCAGTAATACTAGTGAGAGCCAGATTGGCATAGTGGTTTCATTGTTGGACTATGACTCTGGAGAGCAGAGTTCAAATCCCAGCTCAGCTGTGGAAACCCACTGGGTGACCTTGGGTAAGTCACACTCTCTCAGTCTCAGAGATGGCAGCGGTAAACTCCCTCTGAAGAAACTTGCCAAGAAGATACTGTGATGGATTTGCCATAAGTTGGAAGCGACTTGAAGGCACACTACTACTACCAGTTCTTCTTCTTCTTCTGTACCATATGATAGGCTTCAACTTAAGGTGATCCTATGAAGAAGAGACCTCCAAGAGATACTGGCTAAGAAACAGAGGGGGGTTGCAGACTACCAGAAATAGTGCAAATTGAGTCCACTTTAAGGGTTAGGATTAGGGTTAGGGAACTGTATTTTATTGTGGCACCAGAGCTCTCTGACAGAGAAGGCTCAATATCTTAGAGAAAAACAAAACAAAACAATTCCCATGGTTCCCTAACCCTAACCCTAAAAGTGGACTCAATTTGCACTATTTCTGGCAGTCTGCAACCCTCCAGAGGCTACAATTCATAACTTTACAATGTCATCGCTGTATCCTTAACAGGACTTGCAACCCTTCTAGTGAATTATGTATTGGGGTGTCCTGCATGGTGTTCTGTTGTACAATGGGCGTTCCTGGTGCACAAGAAGTCTCATAGTGTTCTGGTACCCATTGTGCAAAGGATGCCCAGCGTGTAAGAGGACCCATGGCACAAAGGTCATACTGCTGGCTCTATTTCCACAGTGGGCCTGAAGACTTAGCTACCTCTCTTCTCCCCTCCCAAGAATGTGAGCATTGTTCAGTGTCACAAATCACCTTCACATGATTGCCAGGTAGATTACAATGATATAAATACCTAACAGGATGCCAGATCCTGTTATTAATAGCCATGCTCAGGTCTTGCAAACTCAGGACCATGATTTCCTTCACTGAATCAATCCATCCTTTCCTTCTTTTTCTAGTGTCTGCAGCCTTACCAAGCATTACTGTCTTTTTCCAGTAAATAATGTTATCTCCTGACGTGAACAAAGTTAAATCATTTTGGTTTCTAATGAAAACTCAGGCCTGATTTGTTTGTTTTAGCCACGTTTTTACTGAGTAAATTACTTCAAGAACTTTTTCTTATAGCAATAACAATAGCATGTATATTTCTATACATCTTATCAATGAACTCAGCACTCTCTGAGTGCTCTACAATCTGAAAGCCAATTGCCCCCAACAATCTGGGTACTCATTTTACTGACCTATGAAAGGATGGACTGCTGGGTCAACCTTGGACCCCTGAGATCAAACTCACAATTTTGTGGCTGCAGTGCTCCTTTTTTCTTGAAAAGTAGCATATAACTATTCCGAACAAATATGGCAAGTAAACATAATTGCCGTTCCTATCATATAGGTATCATGATGGCATCCGTGCATTCAGGGCTTTTGCCTCTGCAGAAGGAAACTAATCTGTGGGCATGCCATCTAAAGCAAACAGAATCCTGCAGAGCATTTTGTATGAAAAAGATAGGCTAGTGAGATCTATTTCACTCTACCTCTCCAGATGCATGCTTCAGTTGTCCCTCCCCCGTTTGCAGACTTCGAGTCTGTGATCTCGCTCTTCGCGGGAGGGACAAGCTGCTATAGGCAAAATGGCGGTGTGTACCTATGTGTGGCCCTGGGTGCGTGCCGTGGGCATGTGTGCCATTATTTTCAATGGGGCTCAAATATTTGCAAGCTGCCATTTTCGTGGGGTGTGTGTCCCCAGAACGGATCCCCCACAAATTGGGAGGGGTAACTGTAATTCCCATGAGGCTTGTGTGTGAGAAATAGCTCTGAAAGTGCACTCCTGCATGGAGAGCAAGTTCACTGGAGAGTCCAGGTTAGCCTCTCACACCAGAGAAATATCTTCTTAATCAATAAGCAGCTTACAGTCACAATAGTTCCTGTATATCCTCTAGGATCAGATAACAGCTACCTTGTTATCCTTCCCTTGCTGCTTTACACTGAAGCCAATTAGCACATAATCAGGTGACTTATCTTTTGTAGTACCAGGGACACTATAAGGGACACTAATAATCTGCATCAAGTAAGGGGTTGGTCTTTTTATACTTTATTAAATGATCATAGGTTGTTTTTTTTACTTCCCACAAGAATACGATATGCCTGTTTATTGCCAGATTTCCTCCCTTGGGTGGAATTTGGAATATCTGAATTTGACTATGGAGCTTTGAAAACTGCCTGTTATTTAGTAATGAGGCATCCTCTGATACACTAACATCTGACAAGAAATTCCTTCTTCTGTACTGCTCTTCTCCCCTGAAACTATAGCTGTCTGTTTATGTTCACAATTCTTGGTTCCTTTAAGGATTCAGATGAAATACTATACTTTTTATTTTTTAAAAAAAATATTAAACATTAAAAAAAATAAACAAGCACAGTATATAATTTATACAGAATTTACATTTGCCGGTACCTCTTTCTCTATCCAATTTCATCTTTATAGTTTATCTTCCACGCTTGGCTTCCAATGCTAGTAGTGCTTCATGTTTAACTAAGGGGGGGGGGTTGCAGACTGCCAGAAATAGTGCAAATTGAGTCCACTTTTAGGGTTAGGGTTAATGCTAGGGAATCATGGGAATTGTTTTTTTTCTGAGACATTGAGCCTTCTCTGTCAGAGAGGTCTGGTGCCACAATAAAATACAGTTCCCATGATTCCCTAACCCTAACCCTAAAAGTGGACTCAATTTGCACTATTTCTGGCAGTCTGCAACC